TAAACCATCTCTTTTTGGAATGTCCCTATACTAGAGCTATTCTTTTTGCATATCCTTGGAATATCAACTTAAATGCTATTTTTCACTCTTCTTGGCAAAACTGCATAATAGAACTTACTAAAATTTTCCTAGATAAGATATTGATCACCCAAACTCTAAGCTGGTATGCCATTGTGTTAATATTTGTTTTGCTCGTAATGAAAAATGTTTCAAAGACAGATATCTAACTCCTCATTCGATTTTAAACAGAATTAACGGTGTGCTTCAATGACTAAAGTTTCAACACAGCTATATCCACATAACATAGTGGCTACCTCCAAAATTCTTCATCACCATAAATCAAGATACTGATCGTATTATAATTCACATATGCATACAATATTAACTAGACAACCTTCTCCTATGGAATTATTTATTTATCTTCAACTTTGGATTGCCTTTGTGTTGCAAGAGGAAAATCTTTGCTTAAAAACAGATGAAGAAGTAGAATTATATGCCATTTTCTAGGGAATCAAACAAGCTTCACAGCTACAAAAGCTTTATCTCCAAATATACTCAAATTCTCATCAAGTGATCAATGCTCTAAAGAATCAAGCATCTATCCATTGGTTATGCGTAGCACTTTTGATGATGACCAAACAGATATTATCCTCCTTTCTCTTTGTAGACTTTTATTTTATTAATCAATCCTTTAATACTCCTGCTCACAAAATAGATTATCAAGCTAAAAAACCATATACAAAATAATTTTTTGTTTGATACTTACCCTTTAGGGATCCTAGATGTAAGGAACTATGTATATATTTCTCCTAGTTAATATATTTCTTTTACCTTTCCAAAAAAAAAACTAATTATCATATGACAAAACCATTTCATCCCCCATTTTATGTAATGTTTTGAAATTCAAGTTGGGAATGAAATTGCTTTTTCCTCTGGTTTTTGGATCAACAGTTCAACTGGCTAGGTTTAATAGGTCAAAATGGTTGAGTTCAATTTACAGTTGTATATTGCATCATAACCATTAGATTAAAATATCAAGTTTGATTATGGAGATATATAGGTCAAATATATGTATCATTATAGAGAGAGTGAGAAGGGTGGTTGAGAAAGAAAGAAAGAAAGAAAGAAAGAAAGAAAATAAGAGTAGGTGGTAGTTGCCTCCTCTCTCTGCTTTCTCTCTCCCCCACCAATTAGTCAATCCTTCCCTCTTTTTTTTGTTATTAGTAAGTGTGCATGTTCTTTGCACGTGACAATTTTTTATGATGATAGTAAATAATATGTTTTAAAAATTTTATATAATTTTATTCTTATTTATCACACTTTTTTGTTTAATATGATAAATATACGATATTAGAGATGTACCAAAATGTCTTCTACATCTTTTTATACTTTTGTTTGTTTTCATCCTTTTTAGTTTTTATTATTATTTAATTATGACACCAATGGTTTATACGTTTAACCTAAAGGGTTGAATTGTTGACTTGCTACCAAATAGGAAAACAACTCCATTTTGGGTTGATTTTAAAATTGTATTTTATTTCTCTTATCAATAAAACAATTATTCTTTGACACACTTATTTTTTAACATGGTCAATTAATATAAGAGTTAATGAAAAATGAGAGTTAATACCCTAAATATAAGACTTAATGAGAGGGAATTGAATAAGGAGAAATGTGATAGTTCTTAGTCAATAATAGGATTCAATGATTGTTATTGGGAGTTATTATGTACCGTAAATATAAGACTTAATGTGAAGGATTTGAATAATAAAAAAATGGTTATTCAAATTACATTTGTATCCGCACAATGAGAGAGTCTTGTTCACACTTTTAATAGTAGTGTATATGGGGTCTTAAATTTTCTATTCATAAATGTTGCTTATTTGGCTTATTATTTCAATTTTAAAGTTTTTTTTTATCGCAATACAAATTTGCCCTCATGATAGCTCAGGATCAAGGGGCAAATTTTGTCCAATGAAAATATTAAAAAATAAGACCCATTCACACTTTTATAAGTAAAATATATAGATTCTAACTCTCAAAAAAAATTATTGATATTTTACCATTAAACCATGAACCATTGTTCAAGTTGAATGGTTCAATAATTAAACCATATAGTTTAGAGGTTTGTTGACCAATTTAAATTTTTGTTACATAATAATGAGTCAGGCTGTAAACGAAACCGTAATGGTGACTAGTTTTCAGGTTGAATGGTTTGACCACTTGGGTCAATGATGTTGTGAACATTGAGTTCATGTTAACTTATCTATCTCACAACCAATGGCCCAAAAAAGACAAAGGCACGTTGAATAAAAGGGCTTTATTATAATTTTGCAAGCATGCACCTTCATTTTTGTTCATTTTTTGTTGGTAAATGTATAAGAAGATGGTCTCTATAAAGAGTTTAGATCTACTACCTAACATTGTGTTAGTAGCATATCTTGCCTAGAACTTGGATTTTTCACTCACAAAACAGTGCTCACATTGTATTCATAGCCACTTGCAACTGTGTATCGTGAATACCTCTGTACTTGAATGTTTTTATTCATGGGGAGATATTTCCAGTGCAAAATTGCTATAAGTGGTTATGAGTACGGTGTAAGAACCATTTTGTGAGGACTAAATCCGATCTCTCCATTTGAGGGAATGGTCATTCCCTCCCCTTCCCTTGGGAATTAAATTCCATTCCAGCTGATTCCAATTTTCATTCATATTTTTGTCCAAATCAAACATACAATAACAGTCTGTTTGGTTTGTGTGACTGAGATGGGGACATAGGGTCTCACCAAATAGGTGCGACCCCACTGAGAAAGGAAACTAGTTGAGAAATTTTTATTGAGGGAGACAACAGACGCTCATCGTTCTTTTCAGACGCCGACCAACCGTTACTCACCGATGCCATCTCCGACGACCTTGTTTGAAGGTAAGTTCATATTTCATATCCTCCCGTGATTTGCATTTTTTGTACCATTTTTACCTGTTTTCATAATGACTTCTCCCCCCCCCCCCCACAATTTTTTCCATCATCTTTATCCATCAGTGGTTGTCCAAAGACAAAGAACGCCCATTCAAGTCGTTTATTTTAACACCGAAGCTTGAGATCTAGCTTATGGTATTTGTCTCTTCTAGATCTAGTATTTTCCATTTGTTTTCACACCGTAACTCCAGATCTAGCTTCTTTAGATCTATTCTATTTGTTGTTAGAGATTTGTTTCAGGTTTGATGTTAGATCTGGTGTTTTAGATTTGTTAGTGTTTTGCTTAATCATTGGTCTCATCTCTATTTGGTATGCTAGATATTTATTGTTTTATTTTTTATTTTTTTAGTTATACCATTTTATTATTTCAATAAATACTGGATTTCAATTATGCATATTTCTTTTGTTTTCATTTTTTGTTGTGTTTTAAGTCATCTTAGGTAACCCACACAGGGGATTTCCAGGCTTAGGAACCACATTACCCCGTAGAAAGCTCTATTTCAGGCTTAGGACCCACATTATCTCGTAGAAAGCTCTATTTTAGGCTTAGGTACCAAAGTAAAATCTGTTTTAGAATGCATGAGATCTATTCAGAGATTTATTCATGTGGGCTAAAATCAAACATCCTGCGAAGTTTTCTCATCAACCAAACGCTGGAAGCATATTTTGTAGGATAGTGGGTCTCAGCAAACAAACACAGTGACCAAAAATGAGAAAATAAAATTTTCTCTTTTCATCTCATCATTTTTCATCCCACTGTTACCTGGCAACCAAACAAATCATAAGAATGGAGCATTCGGATTTTGGTTCTAAAACGTTTCAATATTATTCAAGATCATATAGCATGTTGTGGGGGTGTAGCTCATATGGTAGAGCGCTCGCTTCGCATGCGAGAGGCACGGGGTTCGATTCCCCGCACCTCCACCATTTTTCTCCTTTTTCCTGTCTCAGTCAGACGCTGAGACGCATTTTGTCTGAAACCCGAGACGCAGAAAATACGGGGTTTGGGCCTTGAACTCCGAGAGGCACGGGCCCAGCCCAATGGCCTTTTAGGCCTTCGAAAATGATGGTGCCAGGACCACAAACCTTTTTGTCTCAAACCCGACGATTTATTTGGTTTGGGTCCACCATGAAACACATACATGGATTATGGAGCAACGAAATCAGGTTCGGTTCCACCAGTAAACATTTTTTTTGCAGCAAAGGAAGTTGAAGCCTTGGAATCTTGTTCGGATCCGGCGTTTGTTCGGGTCAGGCACCTGCAAAACCCCCACCATGTTCGGATTACTGTTCAGCTTAAGAACCTAAAATGAATTTCCACTTTTCATCAGTTTTCACACATTGTCTCCATCCTTCCGTATGGTACGTACGTCACATCCCTATTTTATTTATTTATTTATTTATTGACTCTTTTCCCGAAGAAAGAGATTAAAAAAAAGCTTTTTAGTTTTTATAAATAAAATATTGGGGGTTCGGTCTTCAGTGGTTCACTTTATGATGTGTTGGGTTTTGGTTCAAATCAGATATGATCCGACCCGACATGTCTGTTCCGAATATTCACGGATCCACCTACAATTCATGAGTTCGGATCTCTTACCCGCACCTACGCACAGGACACTACAGCTGAGCTGTACGTTGGATCTCCTACCCATTCATACACGTAGCTGATAAAAGATTAGCCACGTGGTGGAAAGTATTGGAATATAAATTATCAAATAGATAGAAAGTGTTTTACACGTGGGCTCTTCCTGCTCGCAGTGAAGCTGCTAGCCTGCTACTACTTACTGGTAAATGGTAAGTTAGTAACGTAACGTCCTCAATCCGGTTAAAAACAAACTAAAAACTGAAATTATTTCGCTACACGGCCCGTCCACAATTTAAAATATCGAGAAGAAAAAGAGGAAGAAAACCTAGATAATCTCAAACGCCAGATTGACCGTTCGATCAGCCCCTAAAAACCCTAAATATTATTTACTTAATTTATTTTCAATTATGTCACCTTTTACTGCTCGTAAAGACTGAACTTTTGCTGCTTTCCTTTATTCTATTCTAGTCTCTCTTCCAGTTTTCCTTCCTTCTTTTATTGCTTGATCAGTTGTTCTACTAATTGCTTCTTATTTCTATGTTTCCTTCTCAGGAAATAAATGTCTCTAAATAGCATGGAAATGCCCTTTTCTTCTTGAGCTTCTTCAGCTTGAGAAAGAAAAAGAGGGTTTTATCTGTTCCTTTTCCTCCATTTTCTTCCGTTCTTCTGTTGGTTTACCATGAGAAAACCAGCGGAAAGATTTTCAGGCGTGGAATCATTGTTCTCAGGTAAAAATCCATCCGGGTTTTCTAATTTACAAGCAATGCCGCTCGTTTTCCGCCTTTTTTCTTTCTCTTCTTCCATTTTTTTGTTGAGAATGTGTGTCCGTGGTATTTGATTAGACTTAACTCCATCTGGTTGTTGGTTTTATTTTACTATGTTACCATTTGTCCCCTTGCTTGGAACTCGTTTCTCTCGTTTGTAGATGTAGTGTTGAGATTGTATAATGATGGGTAGCGTTTGCTTGAACAGTTGAACTTTAGTTGCATGCAGATTTTTTGGTTCACAGCCTATTTTTGTCCTTTTCTCCCTCTGGTCTTCTTTGGGCTCTAAACTCGACAATGCATTTTAGGTGGTAGTAGATTGCTCTGCTAAATTTTCTACTTTTCGTTTATTGTCAATGTTAATGCGTTTGTCCCCCCTAATCTCCTTTTATCTTTCTTTTTGAGAATTTATGTTGGGGGAACTGCTTGATTAAACTGTTGCATCTGAATGTTCTTCTTCTGCAGTAAATGCCACTGATTCCCCATCTATTTTCTCCGTGCTTCTCTCTTTTGTTTAGTTGCATTCAAGGGAGTTTTTCTTTTTCTTTCCTTATTGTAACAAATAATGAAGTAATACTGGAAGCTCATAAGAAAACAAAAGGACCCTGTCTCTTTCCGTTCAAAATCTACAAGCTCTGTTACTTACAAGAAAAAAAAAAGAATCTACAAGCTCTTTTCCAATGGATTTTATAGGGTTTATTTGATCTCTCAGCATTTATGGATGTTTCTCCATGACTATTTCTAAAAGCTATGAACATCGATCAGTATCAGGATATATGCAACCTACTGCAATTTCTTATGGCAAATTTACGTGTTGCGTCTGATGTGATTATAAATTGGGAAAGTTCAAGAGAATTGCTTATCTATGATATTATGCATGCTGGTATGAATGTTGTCATACATGGCCTCTTAAACTTTAGTGGTCTGCTATAAAATCAGAAGGTATAACTTATTGGTTCGGAACCATGTTTCTGATGAAATCCGTTTCATCCTGACTGTTAATCTTGTTTATGACCCTCCCATGCACATGGTTAACATAGTGAATTGATATTCTTTGTGATGACAGAAGAATTTGGTAGCTTTCTAAAAGCAACTGCAGTGGAGCTATGTATATTAACAATGTAGCATTGTAAGATAAAGGCATGATATAATAATTTATATGTTGAGAGAAATTTCATTTTCAACATTGCATTTTCATCCCCCCTTTACTCTTGAATGACAGTTATCTTTCTTCACAAAAAAAAGGGAAAAGAAAAAAAAAGAAAAAAATGACAGAAATTCTAGTAGCAACTTGCTTCATACAGAGCCTTCTGTTTGATATGATTTTTGCAATCAAATGTTTTTTTTTTTTTACAAATATTACTTTAGAAATGGATGCTAAAATGTATCTCAGAAAACTAGCACTTACAAGTTCCTCTTGCAAGATGATACAAATGAAGCCTTAAATTAATATATGCATTTAAAACTTGAGAGAGATTGGTCCTGTTTGTTTCCCTTTTCCTTTCTTTTTTTTTGTTTGTTTGTGTGTGTATTTGGGGGGAGCGTTTAGCTAGGAGGAAATAAGTGGCAGAGATACTTGTGAATATAAAAGTAGGGTACTTCTTCCTTCTATTTAATTTTAATCTGAAGTTGATCCTTCAAGTTGGATTTTCCCATTTTCCAGGTTTTGTGCTTGACCCTGCAAAATGTAGTCAACTGAGCTTGGAAGAGAAAAGGGAACTAGTCCATGAAATTTCCCAATGGTCAAAGGATGCTCCAGAGATCCTTCGTTCCTGGAGTCGCCGAGAGCTTCTTGAGATAATCTGTGCTGAAATGGGTAAAGAGAGGAAATATACAGGCTTTACAAAATTTAGAATGATAGAGCATCTTCTCAAGTTAGTGGCCAAGAGAACAGTGAAAAACATTACTGATGATCCATTAGCTGTTTCACCATCTAAGAGTCAAATTGGTTCAAAAAGACAAAGGAAGAAAGAGCATCCACTCCGGCTAGCAACTGATGCAGATCATGTTCCCAAGGCAAATATTAAAGAAGAGCAATTGGACATGGTACTCTGTCAAAATCTTGCATGTAGAGCTAATTTAAGCCCAGAGGATGCTTTTTGTAAGAGATGTTCATGCTGCATCTGTCACCGTTATGATGATAACAAGGATCCTAGTCTATGGTTAACCTGCAGTTCTGATCCTCCAAATCAGGATGATTCCTGTGGAATGTCATGCCACTTGGAATGTGCTCTTAAGCATGAAAGGGCTGGCATTATGAAGAATGGGTGCCAAACAAGGTTGGATGGCAGTTTCTATTGTGTTTTCTGTGGCAAAGTTAATGAACTTATGGGGTAATGAGCTCTTCTCTTCAACATGAAGTATTCTAGAATTATGATATAATTAGTAGACGATATACTCATTCACACCCATGCATACACTAGGCCCCTTAGAATTTAATAAATAAATAATTTCTATAACTTGAAGGCATTTTAAGGAAGATTCGGAAGAACCAACTTGATTCCACAGTTTTTTTTTTGTTAATTAACTTGATTCCACAGTTCAGAACTAATATTCTCTAATACCTACGTACTGCTAATTTTCTAAGCAATTTTCAGTACATATTTGATATTAAATTTACTCTTGTGCATATGACTATGTACTTTTAAATGTACATGGGAAAATCTATGATGCCAGAAAGACATGATACTGGAAAGGCTTTGACCAATCAACCTTCCTCCCCCGTGTGAATTTTGACGAAAACCCACCTGATTGGTTCCCACTTTTATGATGCCAGTTGATTGGTTATATGTTTTTCTGGTATCATGCCTTTGCGGCATCACAGTCGAACCCAATGTATATATAAAGATTGTCTAGTAAGATGTAACCTGATAATATAATTTTTCTTTATTGGCATAACCTGGTCATATAAAATAACAAATATTTTTATTTATTATAAAAGAGCAAATATTCTAACAGGCATACCTTAGTATTTTGCTTCTGTTAAACCGAACTACAAGGAAATAGTACTAAAATGCAAAAGGAATGTTTAACTTTATGCCTTTTGTCCTAAAATCTATGTTTTGTCTACTTCAGAACCTTGAGAAAACAATTGTTAATTGCCAAGGATGCCAGAAGGGTGGATGTCCTGTGTCATCGGATATCCCTTAGCCATAAGATTCTCAAAGGAACAGAGCTATACAAAGAACTTCAAAGGATAGTTGACACTGCATTGAAGAAACTCAAGAAAGAGGTAGGGCCTCTGGATCGAGTATCTGCAAAGATGGCAAGGGGCATTGTTAACAGGCTTTCTTGCGGTGCTGAAGTTCAAAAGCTATGTGCTTCAGCAGTAGAAGCTATTGATTCCATGCTTTCGGGCTTGCATCCTGAGCCTCATCATATTGATCTTAAAGGACAACAAAGTAAGCTCTTTCTTTTACTATTGAAATTGTACTGGCTTACTGCATCTTATCTTTTTCTTAACTTTTTGTGTGGCTGAAACATTGCTAGTTTATGTTGTTAATCAGCTTGTCAGATCCACTTTGAAGAACCAACAGCAACCTCCATTGTTGTTGTTTTGGAATATGAAGATAATCTGTTGGAGGACTTTCTAGGTTGTAGACTCTGGCATCGAAGGTCCACTGTGATGGACTATCCAGAAAAGCCCACTTACATTGTGCTGAGGCCAGAAAAGAGATTTGTCATATCAGGTCTTGATCCTTCGACGGAGTACTTCTGCAAGGTTTCTCTGTTCAGCAGCACAAAGGAACTGGGTGCATGGGAAGCTAAATGGATCACACAAGCACCAAGCAGAAGCTCTATTTCAGCTCTGGATGAAGAGCATGAGAAGGAAGATCAAGTTCCAACAGTTCAAGCAAATTCCCAGAGGGATTCAACAAACTCAAGTGACATCCGGTTAGCCTGTGGTGATCACTACTCAAAACTTCGATCATTGGAGGACATCAGCAAACATGATGAGTGCCACCGGCCACCTCTTCCCACGGCTGCAAATTACATTGGCTCCACATCTGTTCCTCCTACCACACCATGCAAATCTGATGGAACCCATGAGGTTCCAGGTTCTGTTTCTAAGAAGCAATGGACAGAAAGGAACTACGAGTATTGTGTACGAGTTGTCAGATGGTTAGAGCAGGAAGGACACATAGAGAAGGATTTCAGGGTGAAGTTTCTAACTTGGTTCAGCTTGAAAGCAACAATGCAAGAGAAGAGAGTAGTCAGTGCTTTTGTGGATACCCTGATTGATGACCCCCCAAGCTTGGCAGGTCAGCTCATTGATACTTTCATGGACGAAATTTGCAATGAACAGAAGCCTGTCTCTCGAAGCGTTTTCTGTACTAGATTGTGGCATTGAATATTGAAAAGTTGGTTTATCATGACAACTCAGAAGTAGGGAGTAGTTGATCTTGTTAGAATCCTTATAGAGAAAAAAGATTATTGAACTCTTCTAACATGGATATTAACCTGATGTAACTCTACTGCACCATTGTCTCTGGAATGCTCATCCCTGGCATTTCATGGAGTATGATCTTTGTGAAGGAAAAGTAGAACGGGAAATACCTAGATGCAAATTCTATCCATTAATGTTCAGATTCAGAGGCAAATCCCTTATTCATCCTATTTGAATGTTATATATAATTAATAATTAAATTAAAAATAATGAAAATATAGTATTATTAATAAGTAACATTGATATTGCAAATTATTAACAAAATGATCTTAATATAAACCCTATAAATTTTGCAATCCGTCCCTTTGGTAAAATTACAACACTCAAACCAACTATGCTATGATAAATTACAACACTCCTTATTCCCTCCTATTGGTATCGGATGCCTTCCACAGTCCCAGCTCATCACAGAGGCACAGAGTTTGCCATACGTTAATAGAATCACAAAGTATAATCCAATGTTCTTTTCTTTTTCTTGTTTTTCTTCTTTAATTCTGATAATCGAACTGAAGATGTCTAAATTGTTCTGTCAAAATCTTCGAATTGGTTACCATCAACCTTGAACCCTGATGCTGTAGAGGTAAATAAAACTTCTTATTGCAGATTTCCAGCCCTATACAATCCTGTTAGACAGTTTTGTATGCCCTTAGCTTCAATCAGAATGATGTATTTTATGAGTTTMTTGTAAATGAATAAAGRTRMATATTTGATTCATGTTCCCTTGGTATATTTCTGTGTAATACCCTTAAACTGGACACTTAATGAGACTTGTGTTAGTTTAGAATGTTCACAGCCAGTGGGTCG